CCTGCCCGCAGGCAGTTCGGGACTCGCCTGTTGGCAGATGGCGAGGGAGGTGTGTTCCTCCTTTGTCAGTGTAGCTGGCGGTTCCCAAACCCTCACTCCTGCCTCTGGGCTCTGCAAGGGCTTTACTGTGATTGATGTCACCCGCTATGGAATTTAAATCTTGGTAATTATATTAGTTCTTGGAATGCATAGCTACTGTCTGGTTTCTAAAAGGTCTGTGCCTTTTACTTGATTCCCTGGATTTTTGGCTTGAGGCGCTTTATTTGAATGGTTTTTTTAGTATAAGACATGGCTATAGGTATTTTGATACAGACAGCTTTGGCCTCGGTTTCCCAGTGGCCTGAGCAATTAAATCTATCCCGTTATCTTAAATACTTATTTTGAATTTGCTGGAGGAAAAAGACCTGTGTCTTCTGTCCCTGAGCTATTTAAAAGCATTGAAGTCCATCTTGGAGCACTGATCTTCTAATTTATGCAGTGTGGACCACTGTCAAGTCCTAAAGATCCCTGTGCAGCTGATGTGGCACAGAACTGAACATTCTCAGATTGAGCATTCTGTACGGCTGAGAAGATATTACACGTTGCTGCAGTAACCCTTGGACAATATAAGCCAAAGAAGTTGTGAAAACAGTTGCTTGACTTGCATTGTATGGGAAGGGAGAAAGCCAGAGTGAAGTTAGAATTAGTTTTCTCTCCCTTGTCTTTTTTCTTTTTTTCTCCATTTGAAGAGAAGGTAGTAAGAAATGTGAATAGTATATGTATATCTTAATAAAAGATGTCTATATCGCTGTCTTATGTGCTTAAATTGTATGCAAGGAAGAAAGTGTATATTTAAATAACTCCTGAGCAAGGCAGGAAAACTTACAGATTGACTTTTTTATGGCAGGAGGTGTTTTGTTTCTAAGGTGAGGGAACAGCCATAACTTTATTTTAAGAACTTAAATTACGACTTCTGTTGCTTCAAACAAAACCTAGTGAAGTGAGCATATCAGTTAGGAATTGTAAATGTTGAATTACAAACCACTGGAATTCTCTATTATGTAATCTTATAAGTACAGAAAAAATATCTCACATAGTTAATTTTCTTTTTGTACTTTTAGTAGCAACCTGGAACACAATGACAGATGTGTTGTTTCTCTTTCCTTATCGGGTTATGTTTGTTTTCGGTAGGACAGATAGGCCCAAGGGGCCTCATGGGTTAGTTACTTATTAACTGTTTCCCTAACATGGTTAGCACTTTGAATTTAAGGTATAAATTAACAAGAGTTTGCATTCATCTCTAATTACAAGGTGGGTATGATCCCAATCCTCTTCTGTTTGGGAGAGGGACTGGCCTGCATGGTCTGTAAATATAAGTAAAAAAGAGGTGGGGTAAAGAAATAAGAGTACAAGTTGTTATATTGAAATGTAGGTTTTTATAACTGAAACAACTGTGCATTAACCTTGGATAAACATTTAAAGAAAATGCTGTAGGTGAACATCAGTAGCAATGACTGAAGAAATTACTTGTTTTCTGATATGTAACACATACTCTAATGTGTTGCTATAAGGCAATAGAGGTAAGTTTCTTAAATATGCATCTGAACTATGAGAGCTCAGAACAGTTTTCTGGACTGTTCTGTCGAGTTTAATCCTCCTTGAAACAGCAATCTTGAGTGTCTGAAATGAAGAAAAAATATTACTTTTTTTAAAAAACGTTATTTCAATTGTCTTGTGTTGATTTTTAAGAAAAATAGGATTTAGTCAATTTGAAAAGGTGAGATTCCAAAGCAATCTGGTTAATATTCTTACTGCCCTATGAGAAAACTGACTTCATGTAAAATAAAATACTGCAGCAAACCTTTCTACTATTTCACAATCATCTAGGGTGTTACCTGTAACTGGTATCAGCATAGTCTTAGATATGGCGAGATGACAATGGTTTTCCAGACAATACCTCTTATCTGAAAGACTTTGGTTATTTTGTCTTAACTGCCCTTATGTTTGTACTTGTGGAATGTGTGCTTTCTTGTAATATGTGGTTCATCATAATGTTTCGAATAACATTAATTGAATTTTGTGTTTTAGGGTAAAATATTTGGAATATCTGTTCATGCATTGCCACAAACACTTGTGCCAGAATACGGTTATATTCCAAGGTAAATTAACACTGCATATTTAGATTCTACACCTATTTGTTCTCTTTATAGTACTGAACCTTTGTCAGGAGAGGGAATGTAATATTTGTTCCAGACCTGCTAAGGCTTATGGGGGATATAAGAATAGTTTCAGTTGGGGAAGGAGGGATGCAGAAGGTAGATGGGGAATTCAGAGCCACAGCTCTCATGCAGTTGTATTTCTTTATACTCTTTGTCATTGGGGGAAATTATTCTAGATATTAAGTTTTATAAAAAAATAACTATGAAATAGTTTTTTTTCTGGAAAAAACAAGCTTTATTCCGAGCATCAGAAGTATGTTACTGTTCTTTTCTCAGCTTTCTTGTTGATACTTGTGAATACTTGAAAGAACATGTTCGTACTGAGGGACTCTTCAGAAAGTCTGGATCTCTTGTTCGTTTAAAAGCTCTGAAGGTATTGTCTAATGCTGTTCTTTTTTTTTTTTTTTTTTTTAATAAGCTGCATTTCACTTGATCATCTACATGTTTTGGTTTTTGGACTCTTTTAAGCCATACTGGATGTAGATTGGTAACTTCACCTGCTTTAGAAATGAGAGGATATGTAGTCCAGAAACCGACAGGGTTCCCCTTTTTTTATTTATTATTTCATTTTTAAATATATCTGCCTTCCAGATGATAATAGTTTGTGGCTGAACAAACTCATTAGCAGTTATGCACAATGGATGCTGTGAGGATATTTGCTTAGCAGTTTTCTCCCAGTGGATATGTACATGGGAAACCTGGAAATTAACACATGGTCTGAGAACACTGACTGTGTTGCCTTGTAGGTACTGTGTTTCCTTGTGGTTGGGTGAAACATGACAAGGCTTAAACTAATAACTGGGATGATGTGACTGTACCTTCTGACACGGGCTAGAAGATTAATGCCTAAACTTAGAAATCTGACTGTATGTTGAAGACTTCAAATCATGTTGCTTATGTAATATTTCAGAGTAAACTGGATCAAGGTGAAAATTGCCTCTCAGCTGCACTGCCATGTGATGTTGCAGGACTCCTCAAACAGTTCTTTAGAGAGCTGCCAGAACCCATCCTTCCTGCTCACCTGCAAGAAGGCCTTCTCAGAGCTCAGCAGTTTGGAGATGAGGAGAAGAAAACTCCAACTGTGTTGCTGTCGTGTTTGATGGCCGACAGAACCATTGAAGCTCTGAGATACTTTTTCAACTTTCTGAGAACAGTGTCCTTAAGGTAAGTATAAAGTGAGTGCTTGTAAACAGCTCCTAATTCTTTTAAGGACTTCTCTTTCCGGTCAATTGCTGTAACTTTCTGTGAGTGGTTTGTGATTTTAAACTTTTTCTTACCTGCAGGCATTCACTAGAATTCAGTCATGGTCTTTTCTTTGATAAGTCCAAAGTGTTTTATTTATGAAACCTTAATTAGCTGGAGACTTTGTTCAAGCTGTACTCCTCATTCTTTGGAGAGCAAAATTATTATAATCTAACTGATATTTTGCATTTCCCAAAACTAAAGGGGGTCTATAACCTCTTTAATTTCAAGGACATAGTCGTGCAATTACCTGGCCTGGGGTGCATAAATCTACACATTAATCTTGTTATGTAAGCACTCAAGTGAATGAGTCCGGTTTTATTTTTAACTGTATTTGTCTTATTTGTTCTTTTCTCTCTCCTCTGCTTATGTCCTGATAATTTGTGTCAAATACTTTTGTTGTTAAGATCCAGTGAAAACAAAATGGATAGCAGTAATCTGGCAGTGATTTTTGCTCCCAACCTCTTGCACTCAAACGAAAATGAAAAGATGTCAGCCAATACAGAAAAAAAAATTCGCTTGCAAGCTGCTGTTGTGGAAACACTCATCGACCACGCAGCAGAAATCGGTAAGATGATAAATGTTTATCAAAATGTCTCATTGCATGAACCTGTATGCAGCTTTTCTTCTCGATGTTTAAGAATAATTTTAAAAAAATATTTCTTGACTAATTCAGGACAAGTACCAGAATTCATCTTGGAAAAGATTCCTGCAATGTTAGGTGTTGATGCCTTTCAGTCTACTCCCTCACTGTGGGTCCATGAAGACAGTGAAAATGAATCTCCTAGTGAATGTAAGAGGAGGAGACACCGAAGTGTTGCAGGTAGGTATGTTGTGTGAAAGTTTCAGAACCAAAAATAGAATTATTTTGAGACTTCAGGTATCCTAATCCTATGCACTTCTTTCACAGTCAGAATAGATGTCTGCAAAACTTGCTGGGTTTGATTTGCAAAATGTTTATAAGACATCAGTAATCACATTATTGTATTATATACTTATACTACATTTGTTCTAGTGTACCTGTTGTATACCAAAAAGCTTCTGTTGTCCATGATTTTTTATTTTTAAGGAAATGAGAATTTTTCAGCTTTTGTGAAAGCAATAAAAATTATGTTGGTGGTATCTGTACTATAGTTTTCTGTACATGAAACAACAGTTTAAACTGATTTGCTTTATTTCTCTCTGAAAAAAATACAAGTTAAACTTGAATTGAAAATAGAGCAAGACAAACTTCACATGTAAATTTGATTGCTCGGTGTGTCTTGCATTTCAGATATTGTTAGTGGAGCATTGAGTAAATTTAAATCTAACAGAACACCCTCCACTACACCTCAACCAGACAGAAACGGTAGGTATTGGTGTATTTGTACTAAATAAAGCCCATGCAATATCTTCTGGATTTGTTAACTATATTCCACTTTATTTTAACTGAAGAATTAAAACTTACCTGAAGATAAGTGGTTCAATTTAAATTGTTTAAAATTGTGAATATAGATACATATTTATTGAGGATACTGCATTTACTGTAGTTCTGGAGCAGCTGCAATCACTGCAACAGAGAGCTCTGTGGTTTGGTTCTGGGATTACACAACCAAACTTGCACTTTGTAGCTAATGCACACTAAAGCTTCAGTGCAGTAGTGCAGCATTTTATCATCTTGGGATGAATTTTGCAGGACTGAAATTCTCTTACACTTCCTCTGTCTCTTAAACTATAGAATATGATTCTACTTTTACTTCCTCTAATACCTATATTTTATTAATGTGTGGGTTTGGATTTTCCTTTCTGGTACTCTAAACTTGCAAAAAACCCCAAAACCAAGCAACTGAAAAACCCCAACAAACTGTACTGATTGCTTTGCCTGTTCAAAATGCATGTGCTTTGTATAAGCTTCTACAGCAATTTTCTTCCAGTGTTAAAAAAACCCAAAACAACAGTTTATTTTAGTGAACTCAAACTTGTAAGCTGTTACTGCAAATTTGGTTTTCTTAATTTCAGTCCTTTCCTCAGTGACTCCAGTGGTTCTGACTCCACGCACCAAGCGTAAACTTCCAGCTGATTGCTCTCAGGGCTTGTCCAGCAAGAAGAGACGATCTTTAAAGCACAGTTTTGCCTTTGAGTTGTTACCAAGTAGCATCTTTAACAGCAGCTCAACACCAGCATCAGGTACAGTGCCTTCAATTTTTCCTTGCTACTTGAAGTGGTTGGTTATCGCTTTTAATTTAAATGTACAGTCTCTGCTTCTTGTTAGGCAGTTGCTGATGCTCATTACTTAAGTGTTCCATGCACTACTTCCTCAGCTTAGTAAAACAGTGTATGTTTGTGTTCATCAGTGATTGTCATGTTTCATGGGCTGAGCAAAAGCAAAATTCTGTGGGTTTTTTTTCTGTTCTACTAAGCTCTGACTTGCAATCCTGATGTCCATTTATCTTTTTCACTCCCCCTGCATTATACTTTATTATACTTCTGTTTCTGTCTTGGCACATATATCCATGAAAACTACCTATCCTTCCAGCCTTTTGAAAGTTGTAACCTTTTTCTTCTAAATACTGAAATAGCTGATCTTAACTCTATGAGAAATGTAATTATTGCTCTTATAAAGGTTCTTCCTTGTATGCAGTCACCTCCTGTTTTCTCTAGATGCTAAATAATCACAAAACTCTAGAGGAGAATTTTTACTTTTGTTTGATGGTGCTTTAGAACCACTTTATTCTACTACAGTGCTTCCAAATGTCAGGCTATTCTGCAGATCCTGTTTTAGTTTTGTTTGGTTCTTTAATGTGCTGCCCACTGAAGCTAGAGTGAAAAGAAATTTCTAGACTGGCTGTTTGTTTTGCCTGAAGATTTTTATTTTTTTTTTCATCAAATGAGTGGTATAAAATTTCACACTTCTGTTTATTAAATCATTTCAAGTTCTCTATGAAATTCTTGTTTCTGTGGATAAGCAAACCAAACTAGCAACATTTTCTAATGATAGTAATATATGCATTTTATAAAAAATATTCAGCAGTAGAATAGCAACTCATTTATTGTTGCTTTAACTGTTCTGGCTATGTATGTTATAAAGCACTCTGCAAATAATGTTGAGACTGAACCTAATTTTTCTTATTAAGCTCTTAAATTTGAGCTACTGATCTGATGGTAGCAGTGTGGAAACTTAATCTGAGGTAGTGATATCAGTAGCATGTAATTAATTGCATGCCAGCCACTTTTATGGATGTTACAAGCAACAGCTTCATTTAATATTAAAGTGGAAGTCAATGTAATTTCAAGTCAGCACTCTACAAAATAAGCAGACAAATCCTGTGCATTTAAAAAACCTATTCTTTATTGTATTTACTTGTTAAGACTTTATCTTAAGAAAATCTGCCCATTTTAAGTTCATATAAATGTCATTTTGTCCCTATAGTTCAGTTTGAAGCAAGCCCTTGTGTGTCTTTTGAGTCATCACAAACCTCATTATCTCCTTCCACCGTGGGTGAAAATCATCTCTCTAGTTCGGGGAATAGAAGAAGTAAAAGACTCATGAACAAGAAATTATACAGGTAATTTGCCTTAACTCTCAGAAGCTGAAGCTCAATTGGAAAGATGGGTCTAGATACCTTGGCTAATGATGTGTAAAATCTCAATCGGTCTCTAAAGTTATCTTTTTTGGTGTTCAAAACACAAATCTTTATAGTAACGTTAAAATCGCCAGATCTTCCAACATGGCAAAATGGAGATCAAAATAAGATCTGGTATAGTAGTTTCCTGTGCCCATTAAAAAAAAGCTTGGCAAGAAAGCAATAAAAGGAGTAAAACTAGAAGAAATAACATTAATAAGTGTCAGGATGTTTTCATTGCCCTCCTAAAGAGTTTATTATGTGTCTCTACTTCCCCTCTGTCCTCTCAGGGCTGAATCAGGAAAGACAGGTTGTTTTTCTCCAAAGATAAGCCGAAAAGAAATGGTTCGTAGGTCATTGCGCTTGAAATTTGGTTTGGGGAAAAGCAATAGAGAAATGGTAAGTGCTCTTCTTCTAACCCAGTCATCTTGTTAGTGTGCAGATTTTAATCCAAAGTTTTGGGCACTGCTTTCCAGTAGCAGGAAGGACCTATTTTGTAACAGAGGGATCACAGTGGTAACTAGACCTGCTAACTGTCAAGTACAAGAAGACAGAGGTTTATTTTCATAGCAGTAACTGATCAGCTTGTCCTGGATTTGGCTGGGATGGGCCAAGAGACTGAGGGAGAGGGCAGCTGACCTGATTTGGCCAAGGAGCAATTCCATGCCATGTAATGTCAAGTTTGCCAGTAAAACTGGGATAGGGGTGGTTTTTGAAAACCAGCCACTGCTCAGGGCCTTGTTGGGAGTTGGTCTACTTGTTGTAAGTGATGGCCTTTGCCTTGTGTGTGGGTTTGGGGGTTCGTTGATTGGTAGGTGATTTTTGTTGAGGGCAGGGGAGGGGTGTGCGTGTCCCCTTCCTTTTTTAACTTTCCAGTTCTCTCCCTTATCCTGTTGAGGAAAGGGGAAAGTGAGCATATGGCTGGATGGGAGCTTGCCAGCCAGCTGGGATCAACCCACCACACTTGTGACCAGCAGGTCTCACAGTTACTGAGATTTTGGCATTACAGAGCCTATGCACAGAATCACTGTGTTCAGTGTGACCAAGTCTATCTTACTGCAGGTAGGCTGTAACCTATGTATGTCTACAGAGAATCAAGGGAAGATGAAGTATATTCAGAAAAAGCTACTATGGCTGATTTCCATAGCCTTTTCATGTTTTTCATCTGTAAATGAGATTCCAAATTAGAAGTTTATATAAAAACAATTAACACTTTTTGTTTGTTCAAGAATATTGTACCAGGATGTGCAGTTGGTAATAGATCTGAAAATATTGGAAGGCGTCTTGCAAGTCAGCAAGGTTTGGAAAGTGGAACTGAATGTGCAAAAAGAGATGTACTCTTCAGCCCATATATCAATGAAAAATTCCCTAAGAAAGGTAATTATCTAACAGGATTTATTTAATGGGGAAAACTTTTGCTTTTGTTCTTGTAAAGCAAGATATGTTTATGGATAACAGTATAAAAGCAATTGGATTAAAAGCTAGGTCAAAAGTCATTTGAATGTTAGTGACTTCTGGGGAAAAAGGATTGGTTTAGGACAGGCTTGTTGTGTTTCTAGTCTATTTTAGTAGTTCTCTTCTGTTAGTTAAGCAAGATGAGATACATGATTTCAGTTCTTAGTATTACAGCCTTTTTCACATCTCTGAAATTTAAGGGAGTAATGGCATCTTTAAATTCAGTGCTGCTTTGATAATTAGTTTTTAGTAAGCATTTTGCCTATAATTATAATTAAAATCTCAATATATTATTCCTAAACACTGTGATATTTATTTTAAGGTTCAAGGAATGTAAGCAAGTCAGAAGAAAACTTGTTAACTCCAAAATGTCACGATAAAGTAGTTCACCGAATGTCATGGAATAGCTCTGCTGTTACGGGTTCTCAGGTGATCAGCAAGAATGAGCAAATTCTGCCAGGGCACAGTGAAACAGGAGTCGGCTCTTCAGAATCTGTTTTGATACTTGGAAAGCCACCAGTTCTAGATGAGTTCAAACCCACAACTGTAAGCAAACAAGACAACAACTTAGAACTTACGCTTTGTGAAGAGGAAAGTAATTCAACTGCAGAAACGTTACTTAAAGTTAAGCAAGCCTTCTCTGCATCTGGAAGTATTCTTCACAGTTTGATAGGTGATAAAAAATTGTCCTTCTCAGATGTAGCAGATGAAACATTAAATGAAACTCCACATCTCGCAGGGCTCCATCCAGCAAAAGAATTGTTAGCTGGAGAAGTTTCTGAAAATCTAGCAAATGCAAAATCCAGGGAGCTGTCGCACCAATTTAATCAATCTTCTGCTATTGATAAACAGCAGTCAAAACCAGATGAAATTAAAGTTTTGGAGAAAAACTTCAAAACTTCTATTGAGATTGAACTTCAGGTCCCAAAACCAGATATAAAAAAAGTAACAGAACTTCCTATGCCTCAGGTACAGGCCAGGGAAGACACGTTGACTGTTCAGAACAGTTCATCAAAAGATGACTTAAACAAATTAGACTTCTTTGGAAGAAAAGAGGAAACTGAATTGACGCACTCTGACATAAACAAAGTAGATTTCTTTGGAAGAAAAGAGGAAATGGAATTAACGCACTTGCAAACAGCGGAAAACTGTATGGTAAAATGCTGTAATTTAGAAGATGCTGCTAAACTTTCTTTGGCAGGACAGCTTCCTAGACTGCAGTTGCCTGAATCACAAAATGAACTAGGCAACCAACACTCGCAAGCTGAAAATTCTGATAAAACTTTAACTAAAACATCAACTGTTTCAGACCATGGAAAGGTTTCTGACCATATACAGTGGTTCAACAAGCTTTCATTAAATGATCCAAGTTCTGCAAGCAAAACTAAGCCACCTCTGAAGTTTCAACGTACTCCAGTGAGACAGTCTGTGAGACGAATTAATTCCTTATTGGAGGCTAACAGACACTCTGTAAGCTGTCAGCCACTTAAGGCAAGCAGTGTTGGTTCACCGCTTGTTAAATCTTTGAGCTATGATTCTGCACTATTCTCCTGCACAGAAAAGCCCTCAAAAAATTCTACAGTTTTGCCACGCAGGAGTGAAAGTACACGTGACCAAGTTTCTGTGTCTTGTAAGCAGCTAGACTTAACATCCAAATCGTGTTGCAGGCCTTTAAATCCATCAGGCAAGCCTGATGTTTCTGCCAGAACTGCTGGAATCCATGAACAGGAAGGGACTGCTCATCCATCGAAGTCTGTTCTAGAAGATCTAACCAATTATGAAATGGTTAAATCCAGTTTGAAAGTTAATGCAAATGTCAATATTCCAGGTGCTGCCCCAGAAAAACCTACAATCGCAAGAAATGCTCCAGGAAAAGAAAGAGTTCGTTATAGAGGCTCTCCAAAGAACCCAATACCTAAAGTGAAACTGCTACCAACTGCAAAGCCAGTAGACTTATGAGGTCAAACACGATGGCTAAATGGGCTCATTGTAACTTGATTAACCATCGGAAAAATCTGAATTTGTATGATTTTTTTAGCTGTAATTATTTGTAATTTTTGATTTATTTTAACTGTATGAGTCATAGAAATGTACAAATATCAGTTTGTTTTATGTTGAGGTTTTCTTCATTTGCTGAAACTTCTGCAAATGCTAGTCAGTTCAACTAAATGAATTTGACTTCTAAAACAAAAATAACCTGGTTTTACAAATGTTTGTGTTAGATCTCAAGTTTGATTATCTCAGCTTCTAAACCCATGCTGCCTCTCCCAAAACAGTTTTTGCAGTATTTACATTAAGTACAAAGTTTAAAAAAAACCTTCTCAAATATTTAAAACAATACTAGCAGACATGTGGAAGAAAATGTCTTGATGCTGAATATTGGTAGTCAAACTTACTTGTTAGTTTTAAGTGTATTGTAGTACTACCTGATAGTACTAAGCTGGACCTTATATGAGCTCTACTTCTTTTGAGACAATGTGTTTTATTTCTGTTGGAGTAAATTGGGAGCATATTTTCCTTGTTGAGTAGGTAAATGTCAAAATATAATTCATGTGTGCATACACTGGAGAATGATTAGAACACATGGAAAACAAATGTGCAGTTTATTCAGGAAGTGAAAAGTCTTAAAACTTGAGCTACCAATGTGTTCTGCAGTAGGTACTAAGTATTTTCAGTTGTGAGCAGTAACATGTTTTAATACAAGAGGGGAGTTTTAACTTATTTTTAGAACAGTAGAACAGTGTTAAGTAGATGTGCAGAAGCAGGTTTTAGGTGCTGAAAACTTTGCAAGAGACAAATGTAAGAAGCCATAGCGTGTTAAAAGTTCATTTGCACAAGCAAACGTTTACATCTTTTGGAATTAAAACTGTTTATCTCTGTCATCAGTTGTAAAGTTATTGAAGAATAAACACTTCAAACTCTTCATTAGCTTTTTATGCGTGAATTGCTTATTGGCAGAATGTTAGAGCTGAAGCACTGGGTCCTTCTGATTTTAGTCAAATCATTGGGTTTTTCCCTTTTCATAGCTTGTCCTATAATGACTTAGCAAGTTAGATTATGTGGTTATATGCAGACTGTAGAAATTGGTAAGTCTTTTTCAGACATCTGTTCTGGCTCTCCTTTTTGTTCATTTTAGATATATGTTGGTGATTTTCACAACTAGCAAAAGACCTAGTGCAACATAGGTTTTCAGGAGTAGTCTTCTGAGTGTTTTTAATGACATGTTAATCAAAGGAACAGTTCTTTGTCTTCTGCGAGCCCTTCTGCAAGTATTCACCAACTTGCGAGCTGAATTGGTTCAGCTCAGGGATCTGGTGGGCTCACTGTTGCTACATTGTTGTTAAGACCAAACACTAGGGAAACAGCCATCAGAGGACCTCAATAGGATTGCTTAGTGTTGTGGTTAAATATGGAAAGCTTCAGTTTCATGAAATAAAGTAGTAAATGTAACACTGAGGTTTTTATTATCTCACTGAGGTAAATAAGGATCAGCAAACCAACTTTCAGCTGTCATAGCTGATGCAAAGAGGTAGCAATTGGAAATAGGGCAGGAGATAAAGGCAATGTCAGAAAGAAAATGAGATCTGACTCCTGTAATAGTGAGTCGTCGTATCAATTTTTGTTTGAAAGAGTAAAACATTTTTTCTGTTAATATCTACCAAATATTTTGAATGCCAGCATGGCTTTGACAATATGTCCTGGATGAAGCAGTAAGATACTTTTGATCACCTGTGTATGCTGGTCTTGAATCAGTACTTGATGTCAGAAAGGAAGAATTTGGTAGGGCCCTGACAAACAAACGTCAATGTCTAGGCTCTGTTGTTAGAGGTTTTGCACAAGAGTTTGGATCTATGCCACACATCATTTATCTAAAACTGATTATATTCTGGAGGAAAAAAAACTAGATGCCAAGTGGAAGTCCCTACTACTTAGACAGGCAAGTTACAGGCTTGTATAGTCTACTAGAGACCAGCAAAAAGACAGTGATCTACATTTGAAAGTGTAGTCCATGGATCTGTTACCGCTTATGGGGTTGCATTGGGTTTGCATGGCCAGGCTTGAGTAGTGGGGACAGCTGACAACAGAGCCAATGCCAATGGCTCCAGAACAGACCCACTGCTGGCCAAGGCTGAGCCAGTCTGAAATGGTGGTAACATACTTAACAAGAAAAAAAGTTATTGCACAGGGGTAATGGTGGCCACAGAAGACAGGAGTGCGAATATGTGAAAGGAACATCTATGTGGCTACCAAGGTCAGTGGAGAGGGATGGGGAGGATGTACTCCAGGCATGAGCTGAGAATCCCCTGCAGCCTGTGGTGCAGCCCATGGAGGTCAAGAGGGGTGCAGAGATCCACCTGCAGCCTGTGGAGGAGACCTGCTCTGGGGCAAGTGGATGCCTGAAAAGCAGCTGTGAACTCAGGGGAAGCCTGTGCTGGAGTGATCCTTCCTAGCAGGGACCAGCAGACCCATGAAGAAAGGAGCCCATGCTGGAGCTGGTTTCCTGGTAGGACTTGTGACCCTGCGGGGGGCCTGTGCTGGAGTAGGCTGTTCCTGAGGGACTGCACCCTGTGGAAAGGGAGCCCCACTGGAGCAGTTCATGAGCCTGTGGAAAGGACTCGCATTGGAGCTTGTGGGAAGGACTTACAGTGGAGAAGTTTGTAGAGACCTGTCTCCCATGGGAGGGACCCTGGAGTGGAGCAGGGGAAGGACTCCTCTTCCTGAGCAGTGGCAGAAAGAATTTGTGATGAACTGACTGTAACCGCCATGCCCTGTCTCCCTGTGCTGCTGTGGGGGAAGAGGTAGAGGCTGGGGAGGAGGGAAGGGTGGGGGGGAAGGTGTTTTGAAGATTTGTTTCATTTCTTATGATCCTGTTCTGATTTTCATTAGTAATAATTTCACTTAATTTCCACTCCTCTTCCTGAGCAGTGGCAGAAAGAATTTGTGATGAACTGACTGTAACCGCCATGCCCTGTCTCCCTGTGCTGCTGTGGGGGAAGAGGTAGAGGCTGGGGAGGAGGGAAGGGTGGGGGGGAAGGTGTTTTGAAGATTTGTTTCATTTCTTATGATCCTGTTCTGATTTTCATTAGTAATAATTTCACTTAATTTCCCCAGTATGAGTCTGTTTTGCCCATGATGATATTTGGTGAGCAATCTCTCCCAGTCCTTAACTCATGAACTTGTTATATTTTCTCTCCCCTGTCCAGCTGAGAATAGGAGTGATAGACCAGCTTTTGTGGGGGCTTAGCATCCAGACAGGGTCAACCCACCACAGGGGTATAATCTCAGACCTCTTCTGTATATAACTATCCTAAAATGGGATGTGACATATTGACATCAGTAGCAGTGAAGAGGTGTTACATAAAACAGCCTTTAGAAATTACCATTTTGCCAAGTGCTGTTAAATGATAGACTTCATTTAGCAAGTTCATTTTATAGTTGTCTTGTTAACCTCTGCTACGGATGGTGTGTATAGATTTGCTTAGTCCGGAGACCTCCTGCAAGCCCTTGGAGATGGTTGTTGCCATGTTGTTAGCTTGTAAACCTGTAGTTAGATAACACCACCATTCTATGAGTAAACGGTTGATCGTATTATTCTGGCGAGAGAAATCACAGCAGGAAGGCGGATGCAACCCCAGCAATATGTAATACCTTATTTCTGTAACCATCAACCCATCAAAACCCTTCAGTTTTATTTTTAGCCTATTGTGTTCAGCTGAAAAAGGGGTATCTTTAATACCGCACCGAGCTTCGTATGATCTCGTTAACGGCACAGCCCCGCGCAGCGAGCGCAGAGCCGCGGCAGGTAGGGCGAGCGGC